TACCTAACTTTTCAGAGACTCTTGAGTGATTTCTGTATTGTTGCTTTTGAACGGAAATGTATTTGTGACGTACCGGCCCTTACCCACGAGAAGAACGACGGCGTCTCGTTCAGATTTCAGATAGATTTAAGAGTTTTTTTATTACTTAGTTGAGTGCCGCCTGCTTATGGGTTTCCTTACAACACACACACACACTGTCGACGATGATTATGTGATGGCCTTCCTTCCTTCCACCACCTAAGACTTGAGTAAGGGTGTCTCTAACAAGGCATTTAACACCATCTACTACCCAGAACTTACATTACTGCCCTAAACCGATTTAACCATCCCTCCTCATGCAATATAAACCCTTATGTAGTATAAACAGTAAAGTCTTGTTAGTTGTATATCACAGTAATGCCCCGCGGCGGATTGTATAAATTTACGCTCGTAATGTCCGGAAGCTTTGGTTGGTATAACGCTAAATAAATAGAGGAGAACGAAACAGAGAGAGAGGTTAGGGTAAACTATCTTATAATATCTGTATAAGCGTGGGAATGTATCGCTCGGTTCATCTATATACATCGTTACAGGTGTTACAGGTAGACATAGTGCCAATTACCTGTATTTAATGGCACCTGGTATCCTACCTCGCCATCAGTCCAAATTATACTAACAGTCGTATCTATCAGTAAACTATTTTTTGTTATCACTGAAAAACTGGAAATTCCTGGATGATTTACGTAAGGCTGTTAAACACTGAGGTAGTTACGAGTTCAATAGATCACGCCTTTTGTAAATACAGAGGATTCTTTTTGTGTCCACCAGGTCGGGGAAAACGAACCGTGTGTTTCCTATCTTACATAAACATTAAATCACTGTGGGAAAACGATCCTGAGGTGAATTTGTCTTGTTTCTTTTGTTCATGTTCATGTGATCTGAATCTGTATTATGTGATGTTTTAGTGTGATTCAGCAGTTGGGTTAGGTTAGGAGGGAGAGAAGGAGGTAAGGAATAAGAGAGGAAGTAAGTAAGAGAGGTAAGGAAGGAAGGAGGAGGGAGAGAGGAAGGAGAGAGAGTTGCAACACTTTACATAAACTGTAGAATTTACGTTTTTGGTCCATTGTTAGTGTTATGAGTTATGGGCCGGTGGAGAGAGAGAGAGAGAGAGAGAGAGAGAGAGAGAGAGAGAGAGAGAGAGAGAGAGAGAGAGAGACGAGTTACTCTGTGTCGTCCTCGTGTGTATTCGTCACTCATAAAAGTCCCCAAAACAAGACGAATCTTGAGTAGCTGAAAAAATAAATTGTAGACACAGACACACACACACACACACACAGACACACACACACACACACACACAGACACACACACAGACACACACAACAGGTTGAACTTGCCGACGCTCCACATCGACCATGTCTGGGTGGTCCGGGAGACCTTGAGTCTGTGTCCCTGAAATATCAAGTAGCAGCGGGAAAAGGCGCATCCTTTCCCCCCCAGGGCTCCTCCAGGGCTCCCTCAGGGCTCCCCCAGGGCTTACCCCAGGGCTCCCCCCAGGGTTCCCCAGGGCTCCTCCAGGGCTCCCCCAGGGCTCCTCCAGGGCTCCCGAGACATCCATAGAAGGGATATTATCCCTCGGTCACCCTCTGTGACGACCCTAAACTACACCATCTGGTAAGGGCTTCTTGTGGCCCTCCTTTGTTCAGCAAGTGAGACCCTGAAACATCACAGTAGTTTGTGAAAACTTGCTCGGCGCCACACACCAGGGGCCCGCCAGGGTTCCCAAGGGTCCCCCAACTTTGCCACAACTTCAGTAAGGAGGATGGCCGTCCTGTTAGTAAAGGAACCGCCACCATCAGGGGTCCCTTGGGCCCCCTGCCACAGGTCTTACCCAGCCAGCACCTGCCTCCCCACCACCAGTAAGGAGTGTCAGCTGAGAGAAGTGCTCCTCACTCTCTTAGTTGAGGCAGCAGCTGTAAGGTGTGCCCCTGATGCTCACAACAATGGAAGTGTCTCATATACTGCCAAGATCTAAGTGGTGTTCCTCCATAACCTTAACGGACACCTTGAGAGAGACTGTCTAACTCTCTGAAAACGTTTACAAAGTTGAAAGAGTTTCTTCGAGTCTCTACTGGTAATTATTAAAAAGATAAAAATAAATGAATAGATAATCATTTACATACAGTACAGGACATTCAGAAGTACATTATCTGTATGATGCATCCATCTCGCCTTCCACCTTGGTGAGGCGGCATGCTGAGGTCAACACACAAATCATCTTGCTACAGTACTCCTTCTGTTGACTGTATGTGTCAGACCTTGGGTACAAGTCTATCGGTTGTTGCTGACTATCCTCCACGGCGTAACACAATGACGGCGGCACAACAAAATATCCAACGAGACTGTCTGGCGCCCCCCCCCCCCTCCCCAAAAAAGAAAACACTAACACAAAAGAATATGATGAAGGATTTTCTCGTCCATGGCAAAGTTGTGTAGACTCAGTGGGTCGAGGAGAGCGGCCACCACCACACACTCCCAGGGCCGGACATTGTGTGTGTCTTCCGCCATCTGTGTCTGTAGGAGGACACCTCGTATTATTGGGCACCTGCTGGGGGAACTGACGTCGACTCTCAGTCCATGTATAGTGGTGGAGAATGAGAGAGAAACTAGACCAGAGGGAGAGGAGAAGAGGGAGAGGAGAGGAGGAGAGGAGAGAGTGTTGACGTTATCTCAGGACTTGCCTCACCTTATTCCTCACTTTATATGAATTTTCTCTTCACAAAATTTGCTTCACTTGTCTCTATTACATCGACATCTGAACTACCACACATTACCCCTAACCATCTCAACTATCCACACATTACCCCTAACCATCTCAACTATCCACACATTACCCCTAACCATCTCAACTATCCACACATTACCCCTAACCATCTCAACTATCCACACATTACCCCTAACCATCTCAACTATCCACACATTACCCCTAACCATCTCAACTATCCACACATTACCCCTAACCATCTCAACTATCCACACATTACCCCTAACCATCTCAACTATCCACACATTACCCCTAACCATCTCAACTATCCACACATTACCCCTAACCATCTCAACTATCCACACATTACCCCTAACCATCTCAACTATCCACACATTACCCCTAACCATCTCAACTATCCACACATTACCCATGTTTTAGTGTCTACCCTCCGTGTTACCTCCCATATTTGTTGGTTCTGGTGTTTGTGGTGTAAGCGACCCAAACAATGTTCTCAACTCGCATGGCGTTGGTGTGTTATGGGTATATTTAACATTCTAGGCATAGTTATAGTCTCTTTATCTATTCAACTATTGTAAGATATAATCAGTATTATTTTCTAACTCTATAATTTCCCTATAATCTCGAATGACTTGGGTTTTTTTTTTTAGTTTTAAGTCTAATTTTGTAGTTATGTAGATTCTAAATTTGTTTTTTTTGTGCATCTATGTTGTATTTTGTTCGTATTTTGTACTTTATATTATGTAGAGGGTCTTGCATCTTTAAGCCTGGGACAGTATTAAGATAACAGAGTAGCTGACATATTATCACCAACTAAAGATTAACAGTATAATCCCTTTACTCACAGTGTGTTCTTATAAATAAATAACAGAAACCTCTCTCTCTCTCTCTCTCTCTCTCTCTCTCTCTCTCTCTCTCTCTCTCTCTCTCTCTCTCTCTCTCTCTCTCTCTCTCTCTCTCTCTCTCTCTCTCTCTCTCTCTCTCTCTCTCTGCCAAACCCCCAATTCAATTTACATAAGCAGTTTACGGCATCTCAGAACTCAGATAAATCAATGTTCATTTTAAAATCATCTTCGGTCGTCGTCTGAAGTTCTCTTCTCTGAGGCTCTTGAGACTATTAGACTCAGCTCTGTCAAGTCTCCTAAGAGTCTTCTTGACTGGCTGAGAACACACACAAGAGACCTCCCATTGAAGATGCGATCAAATAACCACAAAAACATCATACCGAATCCACACACATAACAATTCTCCATTAAAATCCACACTGTGATCCATGATTTACCCCCACAAGGATATGTTAGATTACCTCTGAGTTGATGAGTCCCACATAACCTGGGCGGCAACTAACGGGTTAATTACTCTTAAGTTTACAGGTGATTAGGACGATATATCCAGTTTGTGAGAGATGGGAGTTGGTTAATTATAATGTGATATCGTTCTATCTCTAGTCTACTAAGATGTCAGATATCAGGTGGGTTTTAATTAATGACGTCATAGGTTCGGGTTCGGGTTCAGAATGGTTCATTTGTAATTGAAGATCCGGAACTTGGGTGTAAGTTCATGGAGACAGACAGACAGACAGACAGACAGACAGACTCATCCCTATATCCTTATGAGACTCGACTCCCTCATACTCACAAGACTCACACTGGGAAATCTCTACTGTATGAGTGTATGAGGTGAGCGTGTTGACTCATCCATCTCAACATCACCAATGCCTTATAGTCACTCAACGCCTAACTTGTTTTTATTTCTCTACGTTTCCTCTACAGTTGTCAACCCTCACTCTACATTAACTTAAGGCTGAGGGAGGAGAGGACAGTTCTGACATGATGACGTATTAGAGATAACACTTAATAACTTAGAGAAATGATATATAAAGTGATGATAAGAACTGTGTGTGTGACCGTGTTCCCCGCCCAGGTATACAGGGAACAGAGTCTAGCTTAGTTCTGGGTTGTGTTATTGTTGCTGCTACACTTGAGAGGAACACCCTGACCAGAGGCACAGTGTGTGACGCCTGGTGTGTGTCCTGACCAGAGGCACAGTGTGTGTGTGTGACGCCTGGTGTGTGTCCTGACCAGAGGCACAGTGTGTGTGTGTGACGCCTGGTGTGTGTCCTGCCCAGAGGCACAGTGTGTGTGTGACGCCTGGTGTGTCTTAAAGAGAGAGGGAGCGCGTTCACCCTCCACCAGACAACCACTGTAACTAACCCTGATGTTCTTTCCTCCAACAGCACAGCGGGCGTGGGAGCAGCAGAGGGCGTGTGGGCGTGGTCGGTGGGCGTGCGTCATGAGGGCGGTGCCCGCAGCCTGCCCTGAGCCCGGTCATGTCCTCCAGTACCCGGCACGGCCCTGACCCGGGCCCAGCACTCATCCGCATCAGCCCCACACGGATACACACGCAGGTACTGTCAAGTCTGTTCCATCCACCAACTAGGGTAGTAAAGCGCCAGTACAAGCGAACGTTTGTCTAGACTCACTTTCATCAGCGAATCATCAGTCAGGCCGCCAGGCGCTGTTGACTGTTCGTGCTGGCGATGTTGTTATGGTATGATGAGTCTATACAGGTCACACCTTGTGCCACACACCACACTCACTATACATCCAAGGACTTCACCATAAGCCTCTGTATATACCTGGTCAACACTCGGCTCACATCACTGCCCACACAAGAGTTGGAAAACAATACTGTTATTATTTACACCCAAGTGATCATGGACAGCACTTGAGGGGAATACTGGCAAAATTATACAGTGTGTGTGTGTGTGTGTGTGTGTGTGTGTGTGTGTGTGTGTGGTCTGAACATACAAACTAAATTAACACCTGTTCAGAATAATTGATAAACACAACAAACAAACACAATTTTATACAATACAACAGCGTCGAATTTAGATTATTTTTCATCGTAAATAAACACAAGTGAACATAACTTTTTAATCTGGTATATAAAATCATGTGTTTGTTCACCATAACATTTTATCAGGGTCATGTTGTTGTTCTTCAGTATAACTGTGTTATACAGGAGTGAAATTAACAAACTGTCCAGGTTACATAACAGAGAAGATTCACTACACCACAACCCACCATAATACTCTTAATTAATTCACTAAATAATTAATTAAACCAGACCACAATAGAATCAAGTAACAATAAAGCCACTCTAGTTACCATAAAGGGACACAGTAGCCCCATTAATGTCAACAAACTGTAGTGAAGATTTACCAAGCTGCGCCACAATACTACTGTACACCAGTCAGGCCAATCCAAAACACCTTCACAGTCTCCCACGTCATGCGCCAACACGGTTCTGATGGCGATAAATTCTCACAGTGCGCCATTAACGTCGATCTCCTGCACTGAAGTCTTATTGTGCCATAGTAGACACACACACCCGGTGAATGTAATTAATCCCGGTGAAAATAATTGATATCTGTGCACGTAATTTGTCTCCATGCACGTATTTTTTACCTCGGTGCACGTAATTATTTAGATATCTAGAGTTAGTGACAGAGGAGACACTTCAATACTACTGTACTGTTCTCCCTTAGTGTTATTCTCACAATATTTAATTACCCTTAATGGTACAAAGTGATTAAAGGTTGTAATTAATCGAATGTCTCTTACTGTTTGTGGTCATTGTGGCTCTGTAATGTACTCCATCACCCTGCACCACAATACCTACACCCTGCACCACAATACTTCATCACCCTGCACTACTCTACCCTCACCACCTCCGGGAGTATCTCAAACAATAACTCGGGTACACTATATGCTGGACTAAACTGTACGTCAGCTCCACTTGAGGTCTTGACAACACCAACACACGCCGCTGCCTCTGAGGGTGCTGCTGAAGTGAAAGCCTTCCACCGGCCTGGGACGTTGACCTTACATACTGCAACACAACACAGGTACCGATCCTGTAGGCTGACTACTACCAATAGTTATCCGGAAGTTACAAAACATACGACAGTCTGTGTGATGAAGCTAACGAGAATTGCTCTAACATCACAAATATATAATTGGTTCTCATCAAAATACAAGAGAAGACTATTTCCTGTCTGGAGGTGGAGTAACTATCAGGATAACGGGAAACCCCAACAAATTACAGTGGACTGCCCACAACGAGAGGCCTCACAGGGCAATGAACCGCCTCCATCACCCCCTCCCTCTGAGACCCTTACTGGGGGGCTGGAGGCGCCACGATGGGGGCGACAATAACTGTTTCTCTCGGGGAAACAATGACTCATTACACCCAAGAGACAGACAGCCAACTCCTGTATATAATCCGTCAGTTAATGAGGTGTTAGTACGGACAAGAAGATAAGAGAGTCTTGATTACCAGACTTATGTAAGACTTAGAGCCTCTACAGTCACTGATGCCAGGAAGTAAACAGAGCTTTGTGTTAGGTGTAGAGGATCTTGGCCAGCTGTGTGAGAGTACCGGGTGGGTGACACTGCTTATTTTTCCTTGCCTGAATCAATTAAATATACTCTGTAGTGTCTTAGTGGCGACCTTCTATTATAAACTGCTACTCTACAAAATATCCTTCCCGCCCCGGTGAGTGGTGATGGCAGCACTGAGCCGCACATAAGAGAGGTGTACTGTACAAGCACCATCAGCGCCTACGGTTCTCCCTCCTCACAAGAAATCAATACATCTTGTGTGGTAAAGTCAGAGGACCAACTTGGCTTTAACGAAGACTTTTTAAACTTCCCATTTCCATCTGGCCAACTTCCTACTAACTTAACACAACCATAAACTGTAGCCTTCTATCTAACCTGTAGCTGTAGACTATAGTGAAGAAGTCATTCCCTTTAACAACCACACACATACACACACTACAGAAAAATTCCTTCACTCCATCTCAGTCAGTGTTTCAGTTTCAGGTAATCAAGCATCAAACTTTCCCAATCATTACTATAAAAAACATTTCCCATTAAAAATATCCAACTTGTTTACATACGATACTGGTTAACAAACTAACAACAAAACAACAAACTAACCATCTTCTTTTATTCTTTTCTGGTTTTTGTTTAAAGTTAAATATTTGGTTTAGTTTTGGTTTACATTGTACAGGTGAGAACGAGCGTCAGTGATTATAAATAAGAAAATAGATAACTATTGATTGCTCGCCTTCCTCCCCCTCCACACCCCCCACCACGTCACACCCCTTTCCATCTTTCCCATCCTACCCCCCCCCTTGCTCCTCCCCCCCCCCTCATCTCCCCCAAAGCAAAAACAAAGAATTGGAATAAAAATAAATTGTAAAAGAAAAAAAAATAATGGTAGGAGATAACGAAGGAAGATAATGGTAGGAGACGTGGAGAAAGTTGAGAGGTAATGTGGGAGGAAGTTCTAGTGAGAGGTAATAGTGAAAGTTGAAATGAGAGGGAATAGTGAGAGTTAAAGTGAAAGATTATAGTGAAAGTCGCAATGGGAACTGATGAGAAAGATAGTGTAGAGAAATTATGGTGAAGGAGGGAAGGGTAGGAAGAAGGATGGGGGGAGTGAATGAGGGGATAGAGAGGAGGAGGAAGGAAGGGAGAGAAAAAAAGGAGGGAAGGAATGTGAGAGGGATGAAAGGAAGGAAGAAGAGAGGGATGGAGGTAATATTGGAAGGTAAATATAAAGGGTGAAGGAAGGACCAGCCAGAAGCCTAGAGTCCATAAACAATAATAGGAATCTTGAGTACATAAACAGTGAGAGAGGAAATGGCTGAGCACTTATGGTGAGAGGGAAAGAGGAGACCCATCCCCCCCCCTCTCCACCTCCCCAATAAACTGAGGAAGCTTTTAGTGAGGGTGGTAAGGTAAGTGTGGCCCAGGGGAGAGGAACCTTACCTGTGTTTTATTTATTTATTTTTATTCACCTGTCTTAAGTTAACAATACTGGTTTATAGTTGTGTTTTTTACTCAATGGGTTTATGTGACTCGGGAAGACAAGTAAGGTTGAGAACAGGTTTAATGTAGTGTTTCTGTGGGTAGAGGATTCTGTATGGGTTTTGCTGCTTCGCTACACTCACTCACTCAGGTGTTCTGTGGAAATGCAGGTGCTAAGGGATTATTTTATCATCCCTCTCACCTTAATGTTTACACTAATTACATTTCAAAATACGCTACACAACATTACACGACACTACATCCACTACACAACACTACACCCACTGCACGACACTACATCCACTGCACGACACTACACCCACTACACGACACTACACCCACTGCACGACACTACATCCACTACACAACACTACACCCACTACACAACACTACACCCACACAACACTATCCACTAAGACTACACCCACTGCACGACATTACACCCACTACACAACACTACATCCACTACACAACACTACACCCACTGCACGACACTACATCCACTACACAACACTACACCCACTGCACGACACTACATCCACTGCACGACACTACACCCACTACACGACACTACACCCACTGCACGACACTACATCCACTACACAACACTACACCCACTACACAACACTACACCCACTACACAAGTTCTCCTCTACAATATAATTCTCAAGAAAACTGACAATATGTAAACAAACACAATAACATACTAATAATCAGAATCAATTTATCATTTAATAGTGAAGGTAACACTGTTTCCATGTCACAACAATATGGTGACCTAACATGACCTTTGACCCTCCCTCAGGTAACGCAGACGGTGAGGTACAGGCCCGTGAGGTCACTGCTTCTACTGGGTCTTCTCGTCATCGTCTCTCTCTTCGTCCTCTTCACGCTCTCACAGGTCAGTTCTACAGGTCACAGTCATCACAGGTTAGTCATTACAGGTCACCGTCATTATTGTTCACAGGCATGACAGGTGAGTCCTCATGCAGGTCAGAGTTATCTTAGGTCAGTCATTATAAGTCACACTCATCACAGGTCAGGGTCAGGGGACTGAGGTTAGGATATTATAAGGACACACGTGCCATTTGACACCTGTTATAATGATGTGTTTACCTGACAGATGTTACCCCCCCCCCCTCTCCTCCCTTCATGCATAACCACATCATCAACATCTCTCTACCAACAGATGGCGGTGGTGCAGCACACTATGATGGCGCAGCTGGATACAGGCCGGGTAGGTGGTACGGGCGTGGGTGGCGGGGGCGGTGGTGGGCGGGCGAGCAAAGTGTCTCACAAACCTTGGAGGAGTCAGTTTAATCAGTTCAAGATCGAACCTTTACTGATCCGCAACGCACCATCTGTCGAGGTAAGCAAGGAGGGTCTTACCTGGCTCTTTCTACCTGGCTGTGTGTTGATAGACAGACAGACATATATTCAGTAAATTCTTTGTACAATGCTTCTGATAAAAAAAAATATGTTTTGTCTGACTTAACTGAAATGATCACTTTCCTCAGGTCAACACGGCGCTGGCAGCCAATCGCCGGCGTGCTAGTCAACTGGCTGCCATCATCGTCCGTAATTCCCTCCTCGTCACGCACTCCGCCCACTATAATCACTCCACCCACTATAATCACTCCACCCACATCACCGCCCATTCTACTGGTGATCACGCACCTCCGCCCTCCTCCTCCTCCCCCCACACCACACGGCCTCCACTCCTTGACCCTCACGCCCACACAACCACCACCCACGACACTCACGCCCACACAACCACCACCCACGACACTCACTCCTCCCATAACCCAACACACACAACACCTGCTTCCAGTCACCCCACCCAATCAGCTTCCAAGCCCCGTCTAAGGGTCGTTATCCCGCCAACAAGAAGAGTAGTGTCCTCGAGTGTCCTGAAGAAGACTGGTGGTGGAGGAGAACCAACTACGGCAGAGAGAAAGAGAGTCAGAGAACCTCACACAACGAGTGGAGAGAAAGCATCTCTCAGTACAGACACAGAGAGAGGCACTGTAGGTGACGGGAGGAGGAACAGTGCAGGTAGACGAGGCAGTGATAGTGTTATTAAGTTAAAAGACAGTAATGACAGTGTGAGAAGACGTTTCCTTAGCAAGATAACATGTGACAGTGGTGACAGTGAGTGTGATAACAGTGTCCGTGTTTCCCAGAGTGTTATATGGGACGCTACACATCCCCGCCCGCCCGTACATACTAGCAGCCACCCTGATAATAATAACGACTTCATCACACTCGTCGAGAGAACCCGCTCGGGCACGAAGGCCACGACACACGAGGCGGAACCGAATAACAAACGATTTAAAATAAGTCACATAATACGAGAGGAAGAGCCCGACAGTGATAATAACAAAATGGACAATAAGACCTCTGATGTGTTAGCGACAGAATTTAGTGAAGCGGAGAAGGATTTCGAGCCTCTGTACCTCCGAGAAGATGACGACTACGACCTCATAGATAGTGAGGCCACCACCATCTCGACCTCGCCTGTGGCTCAACAAGTCAAGTCGACCTCCAAGACGAAGAAGACCAGAGTGTCTCACCTCAACGAAGAACAGCTGAGAAATTTGCCGCTGTGTCCTGAGATCCCACCCGGCCTATGTGAGTCTTATACTGTTATTGTGGAGTTACTGAAGATGCTTATGTACTGTGTGTTATGTCACGTAATTGTACTCAGTATACAATTATCGAGGAAGTAATTAGTAGCAACATGATTTTCACAACACCTTTTTCTCCACCGACAAAGTAAAATTGTTTGTGTATATTGTTGGCAGCTCAGGTGTGAGGAAGGAAACAGTATCATTTATCACTTCTCACAGACTGACACTTGACACGTGTTTTGCCTCATTTAACATGTCACTGTTAACATATTCATCTGTTGCAGGTGTTTTTTTTATTCGTTATTGCGTTAGTTACCTCACTGCCTACCTGTTTTTTTTAATTTTCAAGAGATTATTCCCCCAGTTTTGTATGAGGGATATTTATCACGTATAATATTTCGGGTTTTCTTCCTAAATGGCCTTAGAAAATATCCCCCAGGTAGTGCTCTTACTCCCACGCGTCAGTTTTCTGTTAATATGGACGGGTAACTGAAACAAATGTATCTACACTTAGAAATCTGGTTTTTCTCCTCGTTCAAGACATATGCCTGCCATTCCTTCTTACATAATGACCGTATATGATATTTTTTTACATTTTAATCTGAATTACATAGATGTTTGGCCCGCTTGGGGGTTGAATGGGAGGGGAAGGGATTAAGTGTACTGTATAATATTTAGCAGTTTAGCGTGAGAGTAGACAGGGCTCAGTGGTTTATCCTCCCCTGACGCCCTCATTCTCATTCTCCAAATTGTCTTCTCTCCTCTCCTCTTCCTACTCCACCTCCTCTTACCCTCTTGACCTCACACCGACCACCAGGGGGAAATCATCTTCGTTATTGAGGGTACGACAGCCTCCCTGCCACCCGGGCGGCTGTCACACACGCTACACCTCCACATTTCCTCTTCATCATTACCGAATCACTTACATTAGGAATCAGTTAATCCCATTATGTCTCACGTCTGTTTCCTAGATGAGAGAGAGAGAGAGAGAGAGAGAGAGAGAGAGAGAGAGAGAGAGAGAGTACTGTTCTTAAAACTTAGTTCAGTATCTACCTGTCAGACTCAGGAACTGTTTGACCATCTCACACTTCATCCACATCTGGCACCTTACCTCACACCTCCTCCATACCCTCCACCTTACCTCACATCTCATCCACACCCGGCACAACCCCATAGCCTTCACCATTGGCAGCTCGGCTTTAACAACAACACACACACACGCGCGTTGTTATCCTTGTTCTGTGTCTGTCATTTAAAAACTACGGTGGGATAACTTGTTTCCTTCCTGCTACCTCTCGGGCAATGTGAACGAGCCACATCACTGGTATTAAGGAGTGACTCAGAATACAACCACAATGTTTATCTTATTGGTAGTGGCAACAGTCTCCCTCAACGCTCAGTATAGAGGAGATATGGCCGTTAGATGCTGTTAGGTTAGGTAAGGGAGGTTAGGTTAGGTAAGGATGAGAAACAGCAATACAGTAGCACCAACCTCAACAGAAGTATAACAGTGATGCCAACACCAGCAGCACAATACGCCTGATAACCTAACCATTCCCTTCCTCCTTCTACTCACTCCCTGTACTTCCAGTGGGCCACCTGGACATCGATCTCGACCACCTAGAGAAGTTACAGTTGGAGGACGTGTTGTCTCAGCTCGACTGGGTGTCACCGGGCGGTAGATGGAGCCCCGTACAGGAACCAGAGACCCCGTGTTTACCCCGTCACAAGGTCGCCGTCGTCCTGCCATACAGAGACCGCCTCCACCACCTCATCATCCTCCTCAGCTGGCTTCACCCCATCCTGAGGCGACAACAGCTCGAGTACACCATCTACGTGGCCGAACAGGTTAGGTTAGGTGTTTGTTGGTGGTTAGGGTGAGTATTTTTGGCGCCTTATGTCACATATACAACAGCAAAACTTAGGTTCAGTTTGAAGGTGTCGGGAGCCTTTGTGTCAGGAGCCTTATGTGTCAGGAGCCTTATGTGTCAGGAGCCTTATGTGTCAGGAGGCTGTTGGTGCGTCACAACCACCTCTTTTCGCCACCAGGTAAATTGTCACTCAGGTAAAAGTAATTAACTTCTTTACTCATTAACATTTTAAATTACCTTTCAACCACAAGTTTATAATATGTAGCGACTTTCTGCACAACGTAAGTGTGTGTGTGTGTGTGCGTGTGTAAGTGTGTGTGTGTGTAGGACATTAATTATATATACCCCCACTGCTGAAGAGGAAGAGGCATAACTGTAGTAAATGGATAATAAGAAAACAGGCAATAAAAGAGATAGATTAGAATAAAGGAACGGTAGAGAACAGAGATAATGAGAAGAACAACAAGAACAAATTTAGTACATACATACATACACTCATACATACATACATATACATACATACATACATACATACACTCATACATACATACACTCATACATACATACATTCATACATACATATCAGTTCCTGTATTCTAGGATATAAAACACTGTACCTGGGGAGGGAGGAGAAGGGAGTGGTGTCCGAGTGTTTGTCAGGCAATTCAAAATATTTTTATTGCTATTTTTATCACTGAATAATATACGGTGGGGCGGAGACGAAAAGAATGACTGGTAAAAAGAGTACGGTTTTTGTGTACATTTTTTCCCCCTCAGCTGTTGGGAACTATGAGGTTGTCTCTCCCCTTTTCTGTCTCTCTTCCCTCTGTGTTTCTCTCTTCTCTGTCTCTCCCCTTTTCTGTCTCTCTTCCCTCTGTGTTTCTCTCTTCTCTGTCTCTCCCCTTTTCTGTCTCTCTTCCCTCTGTGTTTCTCTCTTCTCTGTCTCTCCCCTTTTCTGTCTCTCTTCCCTCTGTGTTTCTTTCTCTTCTCTGTCTCTCCCCTTTTCTGTCTCTCTTCCCTCTGTGTTTCTCTCTTCTCTGTCTCTCCCCTTTTCTGTCTCTCTTCCCTCTGTGTTTCTCTCTTCTCTGTCTCTCCCTTCCCGTCTCTCCAGTATGAAACAAACATATGCTAACTCTCGTGTAAAATCAAAATCTCGGTGAAATTACTCAAAGTTGTTGTTAAAAGTTGTAAAGTTTAACCAAAATAATCTCAAACTAACAAAAGTAAATATTCATTATGAAATCCTGACTTAGATTACGCCAGAATGACCTAACGTGACTATAGACGATAAAGAAATCCCATTTACATTATGAAAGATGTTATAAAGACACAGGTGGTTGGGTAGGTGTAGTGTTGTGGTGTCCGTCCTTGTGTGAGTGCAGTGGTCCTTGTGTATTGAGTGACCACGTATAGAAGAACTAGTGAGTGACCATGTGTAACTGAAGTAGATGGTCCGCCTGTATTGAGTGACCACACACACAAACTACCGCTCAGGTGACCCATATTGGGTAATTTAATATACTATACTTCAATTTCTCTGGGGCAGTAAAGATTAAAGGTTTATTTACATACTTGTATTAAAAAATTTCTTCAGAATTCTGTTAAAAAAATGCTAATTATTTTGGGTAGATATTTTGTAGAGAATAATGAGGCAAATATTTAAAGAGTACGTGAGACAGGTAAATGTTGGCCCACACCTTATATTGAACACTGTTAATTAAAGGTTTGTTAGCGTTTTATACATTATAGCTTGTAGGTAAAGGTAAAGTATTTAAGCCAAGGCTAAACAAGTGAACGTTTATCGGTTATGTAACACAGGTGTCAAGAAGTACACCTTTAAGAGTCTTGGTCTATTTAACTTGTAAATTTAATGGTACAATGTTTTGAGTTTAGATCAAGAATTGTTCGACGTGTGAGTTGGGTCCACGAGAGTCTGTCAGTCACTTATGTTGATGGTGGAGTGGAACACACTTGGTGAACGCTGGAGATACTGAACGCTGGAGCTAGTAGTGACCGCTGGAGCTAATAGTGAACGCTGGAGCTAATAGTGAACGCTGGAGCTAATAGTGAACGCTGGAGCTACTGTCAGCAGAGTGTGTCACCAACGGTCTCATTCCACTGTCCTCCTCAAAACACAGACACACCGAGAAGACTGACCCAAGTGACCTGTTTAGAATATTCATACGGTCACTTAGGGAACATTGTGGGATAAGAACTCTTATTAACTCTATGTAACACGCAAAGTTAAAGCACAAATTGTATAGAACTGGAGGGAGGAGGCAAGACTGGGTTGTTAAGTGCCGCTGACCGCCGTGCCATCTCCCCTTCTCTACACCCACTGAAGGACACACTAAACACGGGCAATTGATTTTAATTAGATGGATTCATATTTGTGAAGGAGAAGTGTACACATTGGCTTGTACACACTTGTAGATGAGTGTACATTATGGTAAAAAATACTCAATGGTTGTTGTAGATGCCTAGCTTGGCTGTTACTACCAGTGTCCTGTTGTGTTGTGTACGAGGTGGGAACACTGTCCTCTACTCCAGAACCTGTGTGTAAGTCTTTAATAAGTTAGTTGAGGACTTTGAGCAGCAAGGACGACAGGTAGTAATTGGAGGTGAGCAGGGCACTAATGTTAGCAACAGTGGTGGAGTATAAGCCAGTGTTGACCCACCACCACCACCGCAGTTTTACTGCCGCACACACACACTGTCAACACACGTAATGAGGTGCCACCCTAACTGGGTCGTTCTCGCTCAAACAGCCGCAGTAAAAGTGGTTACACAGGAACAAGGCGCACCAGGGGGTCGAAATTTCAGACACACACTAAATATTACAGGTTATGGACGATAATTAAACTGTTTTCGTTATGCCGTCAATTTCTTCAACTCCTAAAAGTTTGAATTTATGTGACTTTGTCCCCGTGTGTAGGTGTGGCCCTCATGGCCCGCTTTTATCATGACCAGTAAATTATTTTAAGAGCCATTGGTAGGTAGATATTTTATAACTCGTAGAGTTACTTAGTTACTTGTTATCATTCTCTGTGCCTACCTCAGGAACACATATGTCCAAAACAATCTCCTCACTCGATTGATGTCTTGCAGGCGGGCAACGCGACCTTCAACAAGGGATCCATCATGAACGCGGGGTTCATGGAGGCGTGGCAGAGGAGCGATGCCAACTGTTTTATCTTCCACGACGTCGACCTTCTACCAGAGGACGACCGTAACATGTACTCGTGTCCGCCCCAACCCAGACACCTCTCTGTAGGCGTGGACACCCTCGGCTACAAGTGAGTACAACACAGTTCCGATCATCAACACCAGGCGTAATGCACCGTATGTTGATTTATATTTCATATGTCTTGTTCAATATTATCACAACTATTGTGTCTTGTACGTAAAATAAACACTTTGGCCCAGGATAAACTGAATGAATTATACAAACACAATTTCTTGGATTAATTCTGTTTAGGATTTTAGAATAATACCATTGAGTGAGTTATTTACATCCTCGGGAGGGACTGCAGTAAAACAAGTTATTAGTGATACAGCAGCAGTACAGTAAAGAGGTGTTACAGCATCAGTACAGTAAAGAGGTGTTACAGCATCAGTACAGTAAAGAGGTGTTACAGCATCAGTACAGTAAAGAGGTGTTACAGCAGCAGTACAGTAAAGAGGTGTTACAGCATCAGTACAGTAAAGAGGTGTTACAGCAGCAGTACAGTAAAGAGGTGTTACAGCAGCAGTACAGTAAAGAGGTGTTACAGCAGCAGTACAGTAAAGAGGTGTTACAGCATCAGTACAGTAAAGAGGTGTTACAGCAGCAGTACAGTAAAGAGGTGTTACAGCATCAGTACAGTAAAGAGGTGTTACAGCATCAGTACAGTAAAGAGGTGTTACAGCAGCAGTACAGTAAACAAGGTGTCTTTCACAGGCTGCCGTACTTCCTACTGGTGGGCGGTGTGCTAAGCGTCCGTGGTGACCATTTCCTCCGACTCAACGGCTACTCCAACATGTACTGGGGCTGGGGAGGCGAGGACGATGATATGGGCTACAGGTAAATAAGTCACCCCTTCCAGTCCTCCCCCACACTCCTCCTCCTCAACTGAGACAAGTAGACAACAACAGCTCAAACTGCTTGGTATAGTCTCACCGTGGATCAGGTTTTATTTGGTAGTTTGCTACAGACAACTACAGGGTCATGGAAAAAGAATGCCCAGATTTTGATATATGAAATCTGAACATTTTTTTTTCTATGGCCCTGTATATTTGGGTCATGATCCTTAAGTGTTGATATTCCCGGTTTCTGATTTTTTTGCAACATTTGGAATTCCCGAATCCAATCTTGATATGGAGTTTACTCGCTTGAAAGAATACATGAATCCCGGAATTGGAAAATTATGGATAGGATAAGGTTAGAATTAAGTAGGGAAGAGATTAAAATATATAAACAGACAGACGGATATATATATATATATATATATATATATATATATATATATATATATATATATATATATATATATATATATATATATATATATATATATAAAGATTGCCTTACACGAAAGCTAAGGTGCCCGTTGTTTCTATTTCCCGTGTGATTTCTATCAAGATTTATCTTATCCACGTTTTTTCATATATATATATATATATATATATATATATATATATATATATATATATATATATATATATATATATATATATATATATATATATATATGAAACCTCCATATAACAGACTATATATAGTATACATACTGCCGAAGCTGGGAGAGTATAGTCCATTATATTGAGTCCGTTAAATATAGAACCACTATTTAACACACTTTACCCGTTATATTGATTTCTGTTAAATACAGGTTATATGTCATCAGTGAATCCTAACTAGGAGGCTAACGGCCGGTGTGTTCACAGGATCAAGCAGTCTGGCCTCAGCATCACCCGGCCCCCCAACATGCTGGCCAGGTACACCATGATACGTCACCTCAAGCGTCGACCCCTCACCTGGAAGGTATGGTGGAGGTGGGGAGATGTACCTGGTGTTGTAGGAGAGATCTGCCTTACTTGCTCAGGAGGAAGAATAGACAGTGAGGAGGTTGAGGCGAACACTGAATCACTGAACCTGAGTATGACCTTAATGTCGTGGTCACAGTTGTACCTATATATCGCCCACCACTCATTCACAGGGGTCGGATTAAGGGTCTCCTGGGCCTGGGGCTAATTAAGTCCAGAAAGCCTATCTCAGGCTATTTGTATAGGCTTAGAGTATATAGGCTAATATGTATGTATGCATTAATGTATATTATACATGTGTGTGTATGAATATATATGCTTGTATGTATATTTTATGCAGGTATGTATGTATGTACGTAACACATATATTGTATGCATACATCTATACAAAGATTATTTTGACGTACTGTAGTAGAAACTTCCTAGCAAAATATGTCGTAGACTCTTTTATAGCTCAAGTGCCTCATTTATTTAACTACACTATAAGGTAATATAGAAACGGAAAAATATTATCGATTACGTATATCACTTACTAAAATACAAGAAGCATTTGCAAGACACATTTTATGCGAAATAAATAAGTTTTGAAAACTTTTAATATGTTTATCACACTCTATAGTACATTGCTTATTTGCATGCACTCTGACCTTCATAAAATATACAAAATAAACCTAAATATTGTGAGTTTAATAATGCAGGGTACACACATAAAATTTGTGAAGGCTCAATATGAAAGTCACCATATCATTTAGAAATGTATTAATACTGACACACACATTTACAGATAGACAGAGACCTACTTGCCTTGCCTTGCCTAAAAATATTGATTAAGTTTAAGTAAACAGTAACATAATACAATATATGAAATACAACAAACCTACCTACCTAACCTACTTAGCCTGCCTGCTTTCCTGCCTAACCTACCCATCCTACCCACCTAACCTACCTACCCTACCTACCTACCTACCTGCCTACCAAACCTACCCTTCCCTATCCCACCCCTTACCCTAACCTAACCTAAGGTAAGGAAATTGTAGTGTCAGGTCAGGTCAGGTTAGGTCACCCTTCGACTCTTCCTGTTTGCAAATGTGAAATACGCTTTAACACTGGTCGCTATATTCATTAGTACTTGGTCAAAAATAACTTGCTATTTATACGATTTTATGCTTATTATATCGATGGATATGTAGTATTTCCTAATATGAAATAAAGCCCGATGCATCTAATACAAAGTTATAATATTAAATGCAATTATTACTAGAAGGGTTTGAGGAGCATATTTAATTTGCACAAACATAAGGTGTACATGAATTTATTGAGCCGGTGTAGTTGGAAGGCTGGTGGGGCCCTGTTCCTTGGGTTTTTCACCCCACCTGACACGCCGGGTGTGTACCTCCCTCTTGATACTGCCAGGAGGTGGCAGATCTTCCCGGTTGAGTCCATCCAGCTCTTGTATTCTTCTGTTGCCCTCTGCTGGTGTCATGGTTACCAAGATGGATGGGATGACACTGAGTCCCTGGAAGGCCTCCTGGTGCAGGGGGCTGAACCTCATCTCCAGCTCTGCCAGGAGATGGTCTAGGAGTGGAATGGCCACCGTTCTCCTGTAGTATTCAGCTGGTCCATCAGCTGACGTGTTGTCTCAGTGTCGTTGGTGTTCGCAAAGTCTGGGCATGGAAGGTGTGACACCTACAGCCTCACACAGTTGTTCTGCCTGACGAAACCATTCAGTGTAGTGATCATCCATGTTGTTTTGGACGTCTTGTAGTGCCGCTTTTACACAGTTAACTTCTCTGCTGGCCTTAACTATGTCCTTGGCCTGCTTCAAGGCTAGTGGTCACACCTTTCAGGTATCCTAGTGCATTGTTGGTGATCACCAGTGACACAATGAAGTCTGTGCTGGTGATGGCGAGCAGTAGGGCCTGGGCATCAGACCAGCTGCCAGGACCACCCTCCACAATGTCCTCCATGCAGGCCACCACCGAGTGATGTAATTCCACAAAAGTTTCTAGGGCATCTAGGTGTAGCATCCAACGTGTATGGCACAGATTTTTCAGGTTGTTTTTCCTTGATTCAGGTTGGGTGTCCAGGGAGCCAGGGAGATAGGAAGAAACTGGTTCACAAATAGGGTGGTGGACGAGTGGAACAAGCTTAGCAACTTTGTAGTAAGTGCGGGAACTCTGGAAAGTTTTAAAAGGAGGCTAGATAGATTCATGGATGATAGAGAGTGGTAGTAACTCTCGACAGGAGCTACCATGCACAGGCCAACCGGCCTATTGCAGACTCCTTATTTTCTTATGTTCTTATGTTCTCAAAGGCATATGCACGTGTGGGATGGCCTTCCATGAAAGTTGAGATCCTGTCCACGGTACCCATCATGTTCCTGATACTGGTGATCTGGGTGGACTTAACAACAGACAGGCTTAGGGCATGTGATGAGCAGTGCTGGTAGAGGGCCAAGGGGTTGGTCTCCTTTATGATAGCTGCTGCCCCCTTGGAGCTGCCAGCCATGTTGCCAGCTCCGTCATAGGCCGGACCTCTTAGGTTGTTGGTGTCAAGTCCATACCCTGTGATGCTGGTTGTCACCGTATCTGCTATAATTCTGCCAGTTACCCCATTGTCACTTTCCAAAAAGTCCACCAGGTCTTCTCTGATGTGGTCATTAAGGTCCACATACCTTAACGCCATGCTGAGCTGCTCCTCATCAGCTATGATAGAGAAAAACTTGTTTTTCTTCATCTTCTGAAAGATATGGTCACGTATCTGTTCTCCACAAATGTGAATCAACTGGTTCTGGATATTCCAAGATGTGTACAGAGCATTCTTTGCAGCTGTGCCTAGGTGCATACCCAGAACCCTGTCTCCAGCCTCCACACGGAAGTCAAGGAGGGCCAGAAAGTTACAATGATTGGCAGTCCCATCACTGGCAACGCCCTTGGTATTGTCTCTGTGACCTCGCAGAGAAATGTTCTGACGGCCACAGAGGATAATAATCTTGGTGAAAGCCCAGTGGGGGGGTGGGTGGTGTTCCGGGAACCAGGAAACCCCCCTGAGTGCGCCCCTGAATAGCATTAGACTTATGTCATCAAGAGCCAATCACAGTTCGAGAAGTCTTCACCTATTTGCCAGCCCCAAGGCGGAATACTGTACTCTCTTGCTCAGGGTGGTAAATTTGAACGTCAGCGGCGTAAAATATAAACAATAAATGATTACCAGCCGGAGAAGCTCTCTAATATTTCAACTCGCCCGCCGGGATTTTTTATCGCCTGTGGCTATTTTGTGCTAGTCTAAGAGACCTATTAGAGAAAGGGCTTATATTTTTGTAACGAATTTTGTGGATCTATTTTCATAGTGGGCCTAGGGCTTCAGCCTATTAGTAATACGCTCTACTCATTCGTCCATAACGTTATTTTTTTTTAGTTAGTCATGAGCGTTTTCGTTGGTAATAGTATTAGAGAAAACGTTTGCATGGATAACTAAACGAAATCATGGTTTATGGACGGATGAGCGGAATATGAACGAGCTACTGTGACCATGACATTAATACAGTCTTTGTTTTTTTCTGGCCATGTGTTAAGAAGAAGAGTTCCAACGTAAGTAAACTGTGTTCTTACCTGACAAAAAAGATAGACAATAAAATGGCGTCTTCCCTGGAGAGAAAAACACATTATGCTGAATAATATAACTTATGCGGTAATGTAAAAGAAGTCTCAAGTGTGGATGACTGGATATTTACAGTAGATGGCTGAGTGACAAACAAAACAGACACTGGGAACACCAGGAAATTAAGCACGTTAGTTGATTTTACCTGATAATTACACACCCAAACACACTTCTAATCCCACAGGTAGCGTCAGGGTATTTAATCATCAGGTGATCTCCCATATTTCAGTGAATGTAATCTGTTTTAATTGCCCTCAGGTACGTGGTAAATTGGTGCGTACATCAGGCCGACGTTACAGACTGGACGGACTCAATACCCTGCGTTACTCCCTCTTGGCCCTCCACCGCCACCCACTCTTCACACACCTACTCCTCGACGTGGGCACCCCGCCGGAGAACCTTGTCCGCCTCGACGCCCACTAAATGTTGCTTTGTATTGGTGTAAAAAGCTGCTTCTTTTCCTCATCGTCGTCACGGTTGTGGACACTGTGTGTGTGTGTGTGTGTGTGTGTGTGTGTGTGTGTGTGTGTGTGTGTGTGTGTGCATGTTTCCGTCGGGATCATTACTCGAAAGATCAGTTGCCAAATAAATATAAATGGTATAATGAGTTACACACACACACACACACTATCCTGAGGTCTTCAGTCCTCAGTTTGTGTATATTTAACATAAAATGTTCTATCGTTCAAGCAGTAACTTCTTACACAGTCAACTGTGAGAGGGACCACCACGTCATGTATCATACTAGAGGTCATGACTACACCTCGCTCATAGATACATGGACGGGCTTATTGAACACACACACACACACACACACACACACGGGCATCATCTGTGTAACAATATTCGTCGAGTCTAAACATGATTTTATACCAAAAACTTTACTAAGCATAATATAACTTTAAGAGAACTTCGTGGCAAACTTCATATTTACAAGTCTGGCTAAAACAGACATTTTAACATGTACTGTATGTGAAGGTGATGTACTTATTGAGTGTGTTTCAGGGGTCACCTGGCAACACTCTGAGGTGAGTGTTGGAAGGCTTCTACGCGCAAGTTGTGAACCCGTACGTCACTCCGCTGTTTTTAAAACTTTACGCTCAACTTAATTTTTTTCCATGGATGTATTAAATAGATATTTTAACGTAAACCAGTTCAGTGCTATACTTTAAGTATATTATCTTTTAATAAGTGAGACAGATTGTGTGTGACAATTTAACAGACTCAAGTAATTTAGCAATAAGTTTTATGAACGATCTCGCGTTATTACTGATCTCCTCTTGAACCAACAGTTTATGTACCTTCCTCAGTAAACATTGTAGACAACATAATAGTTAATGACGAACTACATATCAGTGCACTCAATCACATGGTCTGGAGTTTTATTTACCCATGAAGTTCTTTGTAATGTTTAGCAATAAATTTTTAAACGCATTTTAGTTTCTGTATTTGCCTATTAATTAACTGGAGGTGATCTTTGTATTCTGCCGACGACTTTTGCTGAAAATTGAAATGCTATGGTCCTTCATTATTGGCTGTGCACCTGATACCAGCCTTGTTAACTAGGCCACTACACTGAGCTTTCGCAGGACGCTTCATAAACAGAAATTAAGTCCATATTTTCAACTTGTACTGCACTGTATTTTCCTTCGATACAACTTAATTTAAACTGTCTGGGATAAGGGGGGTGTTTAAGGAGAGGGAGGGAGGGGACGAATGTGTGTGTATGATGATGCTTCTCTCTCTAGTAGATAAAACTTGACGGTCACAAAGCGTCACGTTATAAAACTGAAAGGGACGAGAAGCAACTAATGCCCATGGCTTATGACGGGGTAGAGTAGAGTTACGACACGGCCCCCCGCTATCACCCTTAAACAACAAACTTTATGACTTGGATATCATACAAGTTGTGAGTGACATTTGCATTATAAATATCTATTTGAATTTGTAATCGACCTGTACTTGAAATATTTCTAGAGACTGAAATGAAAGTTGGTCCCATACAACACTGTCTACAAAGCCTTCGGTACACAAGGAGGCAGCGTGGCCGGTACTGCACTCGACCGCCTTCACATTTGCATCTTATAAAATAAGGTCGTGAATGGGGATTATCTGATTAATATCCGATCACAGGAGAACACACCATTGCCCGCGACACTATACTGTACCATAGAGAACGTAGTACACTGTAATTTATACGATGGAAACTTAAAGGTGGAGAAATGGCACGGTGGCCGAGTGGGCACGACGCTTACCTGTTCTAAGGGTCGCCTGGTGCACCCCGAATCCACCCAGTTGTGAATGGGTGCCTACAGTAACTCTACAGCTGGGGAGAGAAGATGATTGAGAGTATTTTGGAAGCCATTTTTTTCCAGTAACTGGATGCAATAAATCAAACATGTAAAATAATGTGACAACAAACACGTATTCAGTGTTTATTAATGTCACTACATTAAGACGACCATTTAGCCTCGTGTTTGAG